TGTACCACTGTGCCCAGCTCTTCTATTTTTAATTGTTTGTATTTCCAGATTCCTTTAAGTTTCACAGATTCTAATGCCTAGAAGGGTTTAATCTTAAATGGCAAAAACCATCTTTAGTTCTTTTAGTCAAAAGAAAGGTTTTTAGATCAAGGATTTTTTTTTTTTCTTTTTACACAGTCTACTAGACATGTTAACAGCCTTTAGCACCATAGCACGTTGAATTCCAAGGGCAATATCGTTATAATTCAGATTGAAAAGTTGTTTCACTCTGTCTCTTTTAGAAACAAAAGAAGAAAAAAAAGCCAGAGGTGTTTAACTTTTCAGCCATTCACTTGATTCATGATCCCCAAGGTACTGTAGTTATAATTTCCTAAGTTCCTTATTGGCTTTGTCTCTGCCTGTTTTGTTTCCTGCTTTCAGGATTGTCAGGAAATATATGATCCTTGGCACTTAATAGACATAAGTGCTTAATTTTTTCTACTTGGTTGTAGCCTAGATAATTATATTGTTAAGGAATGATTTCCAGTCTGGCAAGATAACAAAACTGGATGAACAAGTTTTTCAGAGATTCATATTTTTAACAACACAAAAGTAGTAGAATATTGTACTTAAACGAAAACTGATTGTCTGTTTCCTTTTTTTCTAAACTGATCTTCAGAAACCAAAAGTCTGGGAAACTGTATTCTAAAACACTAGTTCTCAAACTAGGTCGCACATTATAATCACCTGGAGAATTTATTATAGATGTATTCTGATGCCCAGAGATTGTGACTTAGTTTGTATGGAGTGTGGCTCTCTGCACTCTACTGTATAGCAATATTTGCTAACCCATGTTCTAGGTCAGTACTTTTCAAATTTTATGTGCATACAAATCACCTGGAGAATTGGTTGAAGTGCAGATTCTGATTCAGCAGGGCACAAGTAGGACCTGAGATTCTACATTTCTAAGAAGGTTCCAGGACTGACTGCTGCTGGTCTGTAGATTATATTTTGAGAAACAAAGCTCTAAAGAACTATTAAGTGAAGCCCCTATTAAACAGTTACTCTAGATACGGATGCTTAAAACTTTGAGGCTCTTAAAGATGTGACTTTGGGCACCATAAAGTATATTCATCTGTGTTTAATCTTTTCACTGATCTAATTATGTACAAACCATAGACCCACACTGTACTTCTTTGATCCTCTCCTTTCCAGATTTTGCAGAAAAATTACTAAAGCAGCTGGAGAGCTCTAAGGAAAGGTTTGAAGTGAAGATGATGCTCATGAATCTCATCTCCAGATTGGTGGGAATTCACGAGGTTTGAAATACCTTATGTTTCTCTTCTAAAATCTTAGAACTAGAAATATTCTCAGTAAAAGGAAAGCCATTAGGTAAAGCAGTGTCTTAATTTTTTAAAAAAATTTTTATGTGTCCTTTTTAGTTATACATGACAGTAGAATATATTTTGACATACATACATGGAGTATAACTTACCATTTTTGTGGGTGTACATGATGTGGAGTTACACTGCTTATGTATTCATATAAGAACATAGGAAAGTTATGTCTGATTCTTTCTACTGTCTTTCTTATTTCCATCCCCCATCCCTTCCCTTCATCCACTTTGTCTAATCTAGTAAACATCTATTCCCCCCAATCCCCGCTAGCTTATTGTGAGTTAATATTTGCATATCAGAGAGAATATTCAGCCTTTGTTTTTTTTTTTTGGATTTTCTTATTAATATTAGCATGGCAGTCTCCAGTTGCTCCATTAACTGGCAAATGCCATCATTTCATTCTTTATGGCTGAGTAATATTCCATTGTGTGTATGTACCACATTTTCTTTATCCATTCATCTGTTGAAGGGTACCTAGGTTGGTTCCATCCCTTAACAATGTGAATTGAGCTTCTATAAACATCGATGTGACTGTGTCACTATAGTATGTTGATTTAAGTCCTTTGGGGATATGCCGAGGAGTGGGATAACTGGGTCAAATGGAGGAATCTTCATACTACTTCCAGAGTGGTTGAACCAATTTGCAGGCTCACCAGCAATGTATGAGTGTACCTCTTTCCCCATATCCTTACCACTGTTATTGTTCCTTGTATTCTTGATAGTAGCCATTCTGACTGCAGTGAGATGGAATCCCAATGTAGTTTTAATTTGCATTTCTCTAATTGCTAGTGATATTCAACAAAATTTTTTCATATATTTGTTGATTGATTGTATTTCTTCTTCTGTGAGGTGTCTGTTCACTTCCTTTGTCCATTTATTGATTAGATTATTTAATGATTTTTTTTGGGGGGGGGTCAAATTTTTTGAGTTCTTTATATATCCTGGAGATTAATCCTCTATCTAAGGTGCCATGTAGCAAAGATTTTCTCCTATTCTGTGGACTCTCTCTTCATATTCTTGATTGTTTCTTTTGCTCAGAAGAAGCTTTTTGACTTGATATTATCTCATTTATTCATTCTTTGTATGTGGTGCTGAGGATCGAACCCAGGCCGCACGCATGCCAGGCGAGCGTGCTACCGCTTGAGCCACATCCCCAGCCCTCATTTATTCATTCTTGATTTTACTTCTTGCATAATAGGAGTCTTGTTGAGGAATTCTGTTCCTAACCCAGTTTCCAACAATGATGGAAATTTAGCCCTGCTTCTTCTTTTAGTAGGTACAGGATCTCTGRTAGAATGCCTAGGTCCTTGATCCTTTGAGTTTTGTGCAAAGTGAGAGATTGGGTTAAATTTCATTTTGCTACATGTAGATTTCCAGTTTTCCCACACCATTTGTTGAAAAGGCTGTCTTTTCTTTAATGTATGGTTATGGAATCTTTGTCTAGTATGAGATAACTCCATTTATATAGGTTTGTCTCTGCGTCTTCCATTCTGTTCCATTGGTCTTCATGTCTGTTTTGGTGACAATATCTTGCTGTTTTTGTTGCTGTACTCTGTAGTATAATTTAAGGTCTGGTATTATGATGCCTCCTGCTTCACTTTTCTTGCTAAGGATTGCTTTGACTATTCTGGGCCTCTTATTATTCCACTGATTTCATGACTGCTTTTTCTATTTCTATGAAGAACATCACTGRAATTTTAGTAGGAATTGCCTTAAATCTGCATAGCACTTTTGGTAGTATGGCTATTTTGTCAATATTTATTCTGCTTATCCAAGAGCATGGGAGATCTTTCCATCTTCTAAGGTCTTCAGTTTCTTTCTTCAGTGTTCTGAAGTTTTCATTGAAGAGGTCTTTCACCTCTTTTGTTAGATTGAGTCCCAAATATTTTCTTTTCTTTGAGGCTATTGTGAATGGGATAGTTTACCTAATTTCTCTTTCAGTTGATTCATAAATGATGTCTAGGAATGTAGTTGACTTATGGGTATTAATTTTATATCCTGCTGCTTTGCTGAATATATGAATTTTAGAAGTTTTCTAGTGGAGTTTTTTTGGGTCTTCTATATATAGAATCATTCATTGACAAATAGGGATAGTTTGAGTTCTTCTTTTCCTATTGATATCCCTTTATTTATTTATTTATTTTTCTCTGTCTCATTGCTCTGGCTAGAGTTTACAGAACTAGGTTGAATAGAAGTTGTGTAGGAAGGCATCCCTGTTTTGTTCCAGTTTTTAGAGGGAATGCTTTCAATTTTTCTCCACATAGAATGATGTTGGCCTGGGGTTTAGCATATATAGCTTTTTTGATCTTGAGATATGTTCCTGTTATCCCTAGTTTTTCTAGTGTTTTGAACCTGAATGGATGCTGTATTTTGTCACATGCTTTTTCTGCATCTACTGAGATAATCCTGGGATTCTTGTCTTTAAGTCCATTGATGTGATGAATTACMTTTATGGATTTCTGTATGTTGAACCAACCTTGTAGCCCTGGGATGAACCCTACTTGATCATAGTGCACTATCTTTTTAATATGTTTTTGTATGCAATTTGCCAGGATTTTATTAAGAATTTTTGCATCTATGTCATTCAGGGATATTGGTCTGAAGTTTTCTTTCCTTGATGTGTCTTTGTCTGGTTTTGGTATCAGGTTGATACAAATCTCATAGAATGATTTTGTAAGCATTCCCTCCTTTTCTATTTCATGGAMTAATTTGAGGATTGGTGTTAATTCTTTGAAGATTTGCTAGAAGAACTGAGCTGAAAATCTGACTGGTCCTGGGCTTTTCCTTGTTGGTAGGCTTTTATGCTGCCTCAATTTCATTGCTTGAAATTGATCTGTTTAAATTTTCAATGTCCTCTTGATTTAACTTATGTACGTCATATGTCTCTAGAAGTTTGTCAATGTCTTCAAGATTTTATTTTATTAGAGTATAAATTTTCAAAATAGTTTCTGGTTGTTGTCTGTATTTCAGTAGTTTTTTGTTGTTGTTGTTTAATTTCATTGATTTCTGCTCTGATTTTAATTATTTCCTATGTTCTGCTGCTTTTGGCATTGATTTGTTCTTCTTTATTGGGCTTTGAGATGTAATGTTATGTTATTTTTTTGGTAACTTTATCTTCTTTTAATGTATAAGCTCATTGCAATAAACTTTCCTCTTAGCACTGCCTTCCTACTGTTCCAGAGATTTTGATATGTTGTATTGCTATTCTCATTTACCTGTTAGTATTTTTTTATTTCATCCTGATTTCTTCTGTTATGCATTGGTCATTCCAGGTATAACGTGGATTTCTTCTGTTATGCATTGGTCATTTGCAGGGTATAGTATTCTTGGCTAGCATCCATTTTCTTTAAGAGCTTGGTATGTATCATTCTTTAATTTTGTATTTTATTGGTGACTTCTAATTTCAGTCAGTTATGATTGATAGAATGCAAGGTATTATCTGTTTTTTTGTATTTGCTAAAAGTTGCTTTGTGGCCTAAGATGTGGTCTATTTTAGAGAAGGATCCATGTGCTGCTGAGAAGAAAGTGTATTTAGTCATTGATGGATGAAATATTCTATATATGTTTATTAAGTCTAAATTGTTAATCTTATTTTTCAGTTCTATAGCTTCTTTGTTTAATTTTTGTTTGGAGGATCTATCCAGAGTGGTGAGAGATGTGTTAAAAGTCATCAAGTATTATTGTGTTGTGGTCTATTTGTTGAAATCGAGAAGGGTTTGTTTGACATACATAGATGCTCCATTGTTTAGGGCATAAATATTTATGATAATTATGTATTGTTGCTGTAAAATTCCCTTAAGCAGTATGAAATAGCCTTCTTTGTCCCTTCTGATTAACTTTGGCTTGAATTCCACTTTATTTGATATGAATATAGCAACCCCTGGTACTTTACATGATAACATGTGAATATGTTTTTCCCATCCTTTTACATTCAGTCTGTGCATGTCTTTGCCTATGAGGTGAGTTTGTTGGAGACAGCATATTGTTGACTCTTGTTTTTTAATCTAATCTGCCAGTCAGTGTCTTTTGATTGATGAGTTGAGGCCATTTACATTTATTACTGAGAAATGATTTTTATTCACAATCATTTTGATATATTTTTGGTTTTTAATTTGAATTAATTTCTCCTCTGATTGACTATTCTTCTAGTATAGTTCCTCCCTTTGCTGTTTTTCACTGTTTTGTGGGGGGATGGGAGGCAGGGATTGAACTTAGAGGCACTCAACCATTGAGCCACATCCCCAACCCATTTTTGTATTTTATTTAGAGACAGTGTCTTACTAAGTCGCTTAGTGCCTCAGCCTCCTGATCCGCTGGGATTGGTTTTCACTTTTATTTTTCATGAAGTATTTTATTGAGTATATTTCATAGTGCAGGCTTTCTGGTTGTGAATTCTTTTAAATTTTGTTTATCATGGAAGGTTTTTATTTCATGATCAATTCTGAAGCTTAATTTGCAGGGTATAGTATTCTTGGCTAGCATCCATTTTCTTTCAGAGCTTGGTATGTATCATTTCAAGACCTGTTCTCTTTGAGGGTCTGGGTTGAGAAATCAGATGAGATCCGGATTATTTTCCTTATAAATGTTACCCATTGTTTTTCTCTGGCAGCTTTTAAAATTCTATCCTTATTCTGTATGTTAGGCATTTACATAATAGTGTACCTTGGTATAGGTCTATTGTAATTTTGTATATTTGGGATCCTGTAAGCCTCCTGTATTTGATTTTTCATTCCATTCTTTAGGTTTGGGAAATTTCCTGATATTATTTCATTGAAAATATTGTRCATGTCTTTGTTTTGTATCTCTAAGCTTTCATCTACCCATTAAATCTTAAAATCTGTTCTTTTCAGGTTATCGCATTATTTCTTGAAAATTCATCTTTTCTCCATGATCAACTTTATTTTCTAGATTATATATTTTGTCTTCATTGACTAAAACTCTGTCTTCCAAGTGATCTAGTCTGTTAGTGATGTCTTCCACTGAGTTTTTAATTTGGTGTATTGATTTCTTCATTTTAAGGATTTCTGTTTGATTTCTTTTTCAGAATCTCTATCTCTGTATTGAAGTGATCTTTCACATCCTGAATTTTCTCTCTGATTTCACTCCTTACATCATCTTTTACCTCACACATGAGTTTAACTCTGTACATTCTAAACTTCTTCTCTGATATTTCCACTGTGGTGTTGATGGATTCTGTTATTGGAGTATCTTGGTTTGTTTGGGGTGATTTGTTCCCTTGCTTTTTCATGCTGTTTGTGTGTCTACCCATCTAACAATATGGGTCTGAGGCAGTAGAGTTTCTACGCTGTGGACTTACAGTGTCCCTGAAGGTTTCCAGTACCTCACCATTTTGGGGAAGACAAGTAATAACATCAACTAATACAAACAACATATAGCATTAAATCAAATAGTTCCTGCTATAATGTCTACAATATTAATTGTCATAGTAAACAGAACTTATATAACAGTTATTGTCTACAATAAAAAAAGTGAGTTTGCAAAAGGGTTTACAATTTCAAATGGTAGACAGTGATAGAACAGAAGTGATGTAGGATGTAATGATTATGAAGGAGCAGAAGAGGAGATAGAAGTGAAAAATTGATAGAAGTAAAAATTTAAAAATTACAAAACAAAATAAAAATAGATTAAGCAAACATCCTAGTCCTCAAAAACTGACCCATGAAAAATAACTGGCTTCAAAAATGATAGAAATGAGAAAAAACATCAATATGAATATGTATAAATGTCCATGAACCATTAAGGTCACAAACAGAAAACAAACAAACAAAGAAGACACAAAAAAACATGAAAAGTTAAAGAATTGTTTCTGTTGGAGTTCAAAAGATTCTCAGTTTCTCCTCTCAGCAGTGTTAGGTGGGGTTATCTGGAGTGTGATACTGCACCCTGTGGGTGGATTGCTAGAGTAAGAGAGGTAATCCCACAGGCACAATTCCTGGAGGTGGGGTTTAGGTTTAGGTGGGCTCCAGGCTCTTTGCTGAATACCAGTTGGTCTGGAGATTTTATATCAGTGTACCTCCAGGGCCCAGCAATTCTGGTCCACACTAGAAGACTGTTATCTCAGGGATCTCCTTGGGTTTCACTGTTGTGGTGGAGCCAATTCTTAGCCATTATGTCACCTRTGGACCCCACTTTTCCTGGCCTCGGGTTTAGTCATCAAATCCAATCTCTCCCTCCCATGCCCTTTTAAATTCCTGGTCAGGTGCATTTCTCCCAAGCCAATCTTGCAAACAGCCTGATTAGAGGGATGGAGGGAGAGCCAAGTGGGTTTCCACAACCAGTATTCCCCTGTGTAAACCTCTCTCCATGCTTGATTTTCTCCTGATCACTTAGGCACAGTCTGTGTCATGCAGTGTGGGTTTTCCAGGTCTGAATTTCAGGCCAAACTTGGGTTTCCCAGGAAGCGACTTCACCACTTGCCTGGCCCCACACTGCATCGGCTGCAAAATGGTTCTTTTCTCTGTCTTCTGCACCAGGAGAGAGTTGGCTTCTTTCCTGCACAAGGATGTTGTGCACTACTCCTTTCGGTTTAGTCTAGCTGTGTCTTTCATTTCTAAACTCCCCATACCTCCAGGACTCCCAGAAAATGTGGTTCCTTAATTCCCTTATTCTCCCACTTTGCTCACAGAGGGAGTGCTCTTGCTGGTGCCTCCGGCCACGGCAGTAGCTTTGGCACTGGGGATTTTTTTCTTTATTTTATTGTATCCAACCTCCAGAGTCTCCCCCAATCTGCTTAGTATTAAATTCCAGTATTAAATTCCAGGAAAGCCCTTTCCCTTCTTTTTTATTTTTTTGCTGAGAAGCTGCCTAACTGCTTTCTTGGTTTCATGCCACACAACAGCCGGGAAAGCAACCTTTTCTATTCTATCATCTTGAAACCTCTCTTGAAGTATCTAAATTTTAATTCCTAAGCCATTTATACCTATATTATTAAGAGAACTATATAGTCTTTCAGTCTTAAATAGTTATTTTGATTATTTTCTTTCTAGTTAAGTATTTATGTTAATTTGTATATATGTCCATTTTATTGGTAACTATTTTGTGTTCTATTTTAATATTTCTTATTAACTTTATTTCACATATGCATTTTTCCCAAGCCATTATAACACACATATTTTTATTGACTCTTAACTACATTTTACAATTTGTTTAGCCCTCTAAGGYCTTCTTGACTTTCTGATCTCTCTGGTAGGAAATTGTCATGTTTGTAAAGATGAACTCCATGGTTATTTATTTTGTATTAAATTAGATTGTTAAAGTTCCTCAGTGGTGTATGTGTTTAGATGTGGTATACATATATGGGAACTTCACACATACTCTTAGTATCATTATGGAAAAAGAAAGATGCCTAAAAATTTAAGCCTTAAAGAAATGACTATTGAGGTTGTTTCCTGTCAATTGTACCTAGTGACTGGTATCTACATTTTAGTGAATATATTGCTTTTTCTCCCGGGGTTATATTCCCAGTGGGATCACCAGGTCAGTTCTTTTTACATTTGTGTAGCAATTTTATGTCTGACCTGAATTTGAGTGTGATAGGAAAGCAAAAGTGGTTTGTGATTTAAACAGGAATTGTTGGAAGTAATACTGGAATTTCACACTGACTGTARTTAAATATTCATCTTTATAGGAAATCGAAGTCTTCCCTATTCCTTCCCAATAACATATCTTCATTTTGCTTTGTGGCTAAAATAGAAAAAATTAATTTATTCCCAAATGATGAACCTTGAAAAAATCCCAATCCATCTCTAAAGTTTCACTTCTTGAAGGTAAACTTTACTGTTGCTGTAATAACTGGACCCTTGTCAATTTTGTTTATGTAGTGTTTAGTGTTAAAATGCAGAGCACAGAGTAATTCCTCCATATAGCTTGGCTGGAAGATAATAACAAATCAGGACTATAGGAGTTTTGGTGTTCAAATTATACTAGGTCTGTTCATATTTGGATTTCTATTTTGTCTCTTGCTTTGAAGCTTTAATATCAGTGTTATTCCTTCCTATAATCCCTTCTCTTTGAACATAGAAATATTAGTTCTGTAGCCGCACCAATTTTAAATGTGGATGAATATTGTGTTTTGGTTGCCTTTCTCTCCTTTATTCTGCRTGCACTTTCTCCCTCCATTACATAATAAAAATAGTAGCATAGTGTCAGTTGAAAGAGATCCTTTTCTTAGTTACTCCAGCATATTGAATTGGGCTGGGGCATGATTTCTTACTGAGACAAAGCAAAAGTAACAAATGATTCCCAGTGAGTTGTCTTAATGATATAGTTGCATTATAGAAAATTGAACCTCCATGCTTCAGGTTACATAAATACTAAAATCAGTGTTTCTTCTCTCCACAGCTTTTTCTCTTCAACTTTTATCCCTTCCTGCAAAGGTTTCTGCAGCCCCACCAGAGAGGTAACCTGCCCACTTACTACCACTTGCCATGTCTCCTTGGTGATCTTAGTGTTAGAATAGCTATCCAGAGCCTTTTGTTTTGGAATCATTAAAGACTGTGTTAGGCTGGGTGTGGTTGCAGTCTTCTGTAACCCTAGTGAGTTGGAAGGCTGAGGCAGGAAGATTGCAAATTTGAGACCAGCCTCAACAATTTAGACCCTGTATCAAAAAAAAAAAAGGAATGGGGGGTGTAGAGCAGAGGTATAATGCGCCTAAATTCATTCCCCAGTACCACAGTCAATCAATTAATCAATTAATAAGATAGTGTTAGGAGTAGAAATGTGTTCTATAACAGACAAGGAGAGAGAAGCTCTTACATTTTCTTGGTATAGTCGGCCATGGGTTAGTTGTTCTAATTTTAAAATTAAAATTAATTCTCATCAATTTTAAGAAACAATTATTTTTTAAAAAGAAATTAGACCTTTTACCGTAACTTTAGAATAGGTAGCAGAATTTTATTTTAACTGTTCTCATTATGTTTTTGTGCATTTTCATTTAAAAACAACATAAAAGCAGGAAACAAGATGTTTTGTCTTTGAATTTGAACMAAGATAGGAAAGAAACATTTATTGTGAGGCTCTAACATGCGCCAAAGCATGTGTTAAGTGCTTTCCTTCCATCATCTCATCTGGCCTTCATATCAATACTGCAAGGTGCAGAAAGAAGCAAAATGAAAAGAGTCAGTCAGCAAATAAATGGCAAGTCAGATTTGCTTCACTTCCTTTCACCAAAGGCCTTGTTCTTTACATATACTGCACTGCCCCTTTGAAGAGAGAATATGTGTATTTGCTTATGTTGTATTTATTTATTCATTCAACAAGTGTTTAGTGATTTCTATGGCAGGCATTGTATTAGACACTAAGAATTTCACAATGACCAAGAAGTCCTTACCCTCATAGAGCTTACATTCTAGATAGAGATAAAGATAATACAGTACATATGTCAATGTAAAAGATAAGTGTTTTGAAGAGAAAGGAAGCAGAGTAGGGACAATAGGGAGTGCTGGGGCAGGTTTTATTTTATTTTTTATTTTTTTTAAAGAGAGAGAGAGAGAATTTTTTAATATTTATTTTTTAGTTTTTTCGGCAGACACAACATCTTTGTTTGTATGTGGTGCTGAGGATCGAGCCCAGGCCGCACGCATGCCAGGCGAGCGCGCTACCGCTTGAGCCACATCCCCAGCCCCAGGTTCTATTTTAGATTGTGTGGTCAGGAAAGACCTTTCAGCAAGGAAGCAACTGAGCAGGTAGCTGAAGGGAGCAAAGGGGTGAGCCATGCAGATAGCTGGGGTTGGGTGTTCTTGGTGGAATAAACAGCTGTTGCATAAGGCAGGAATATGCTTGCCATGTTGCTATATATTCTGAGAGGCAGAGTGATAACTGTGACCTTTCTCATCTCTTGTGTTTTTAGAAGTAACAAAGATCCTTCTGTTTGCTGCACAAGCTTCTCATCACCTAGTACCCCCAGAGGTGAGAACTCTTTTTTTTATTATTATTTTTAATTCTAATTTGTTATATATGACAGCAGAATGCATTATAATTCATATTACACATATAGAGTGCAGTTTTTCATATCTCTGGTTGTATATAAAGTATCTTCACACCATTCATGTCTTTATAAGTGTACTTAAGGTAATGATATTCATCTCATTCCACCATCTTTTTTACCCCCATGCCCCGTCCCATCCCCTCCCATCCCTTGGTCCTACCTAGAGTTTGTCTAATCCTCCCATGCACCCCYTCCCAACCCCAATATGAATCAGCCTCCTCGTATCAGAGAAAACATTTGGCATTTGGTTTGTTGGGATTGGCTAACTTCACTTAACATTATATTCTCCAACTCCATCCATTTACCTGCAAATGCCATGATTTTATTCTCTTTTAATGCTGAGTATTATTCCATTGTGTATATATACATGTTTTCTTATCCATTCATCTACTGAAGGGCATCTAGGATGGTTCCACAGTTTAGCTATTGTGAATTGTGCTGCTATAAACATTGATGTGGCTGTGTCTCTGTAGTATGCTGTCCTTTGGTATAGATTAAGGAATGGGATATCTGGGTCAAATGGTGGTTCCATTCCCACCTTTCCAAGGAATCCCCATACTGCTTTCCATATTGGCTGCAACAATTTGCAGTCCCACCAACAATGTAGGAGTGTGCCTTTTTCCTCACCAACACTTATTGTTGTTTGTGTTCTTAATAGCCGCCATTCTAACTGGAGTGAGATGAAATCTCAGAGTAGTTTTGATTTGCATTTCTCTAATTGCTAGAGATGTTGAACATGTTTTCATTTATTTGTTGATTGATTGTATAACATCTTTTGAGAGGTGTCTGTTCAGTTCCTTGGCCCATTGTTGATTGGGCTGTTTGTTTTTTTGGTGTTTAGCTTTTTGAGTTCTATATACCCTAGAGATTAGTGCTGTATCTGATGTGCCAGCACTAAATTTGCTCCCAAGATGTAGGTTCTCTATTCACTTCACTGATTGTTTCTTTTGTCAAGAAGAAGCTTTTTAGTTAGAATCCATCCCATTTATTGATTTTAATTCTTCTGTTATAGGAGTCTTATTAAGGAAGTTGAGGCCTAATCGACATGATGGAGATTTGGGCCTACTTTTTCTTCTAAAAAGCACAGTGTCTCTGGTTTAATTCCTAGGTCCTTGATCCACTTTGAGTTGAGTTTTGTGCATGGTGAGAGATTGGGGTTTAATTTCATTTTGTTGCATTTGGATTTCCAATTTTCCCAGCACCATTTATTGAAGAAGCTATCTTTTCTCCAATGTATGTTTTTGGCACCTTTGTCTAATATAAGATAACTGTAATTATGTGGGTTAGTCTCTTTGTCCTCTATTCTATATCATAGGTCTACCAGTCCATTTTGGTGCCAATACCATGYTGTTTTTGTTACTATTTCTCTGTAGTGTAGTTTAAGGTCCGGTATAACGATGCCACCTGCTTCATCTTCTTGCTAAGGATTGCTTTAGCTATTCTGGGTCTCTTATTTTTCCAGATGAATTTCATGACTGCTTTTTCTATTTCTTTGAAGAATGTCATTGGGATTTTGATTGGGATTGCATTCAATCTATAGATTGTTTTTGATAGTATGGTCATTTTGACAATATTAATTCTTCATATCCAAGAAGAAGGAAGATCTTTCTATCTTCTAAGGTCTTCTTTAATTTCTTTCTTTAGTGTTCTGTAGTTTTCATTGTAGAGGTCTTTTACCTCTTTTGTTAGACTGATTCCCAATTATTTTATTTTTTTGAGGCTGTTGCAAATGGGTTAGTTTTCCTCGTTTCCCTTTCAGAGGATTTGTCACTGATATAGAGAAATGCCCTTGATTTATGGGTATTGATTTTGTATCCTGCTACTTTGCTGAATTCATTTACTAGTTCTAGAAGTTTTCTGGTAGAGTTTTTTGGGTCTTCTAGGTATAGAATCATATCGTCAGCAAATAGTGTTCTTCTTTTCCTATCCATATCCCTTTAATTTCTTTCATCTGTCTAATTGCTCTGGCCAGTGTTTCAAGAACTATGTTAAATAGAAGTGGTGAAAGAGGACATCCCTGCCTTGTTCCAATTTTTAGATGGAATGCTTTCAATTTTTCTCCACTTAGAATGATGTTGGCCTGGGGTTTAGCATAGATAGCTTTTTTGATCTTGAGATATGTTCCTGTTTTCCCTAGTTTTTCTAGTGCTTTGAACATGTATGGGTGCTGTATTTTGTCAAATGATTTTTCTGCATCAATTGAGATGATCATATGGTTCTTTAAGTCTATTGATGTGATGAATTACATTTATTGATTTCCATATGTTGAACCAACCTTGCATCCCTATGATGAACCCCACTTGATCATGGTGCACTATCTTTTTGATATGTCTTTGTATTCGATTTGCCAGAATTTTATTGAGAATTTTTGCATCTATGTTGATTAGTGATATTGGTCCGAAGTTTTCTTTTTTTGTTGTGTCTTTGCCTGGTTTTGGAATCAGGGTGATATTGGCCTCATAGAATGAGATTGGAAGTGCTCCTTCTTTTTCAACTTCATGAAATGATTTGTAGAGTATATTTATTAATTCTTCTTTAGAGGTCTTGTAGAACTTTAGCTGTGTATCCATCTGGTCCTGGACTTTTCTTGATTGGTAGACTTCTGATGGCGTTTTCTATTTCCTTGCTTGAAATTGATCTGTTTAAATTGTGTATGTCATCCTTATTCAATTCATGCCTGTAGAAATTTGTCAATGCCTTCAGTATTCTCTATTTTACTAGAGTACAAGTTTTCAAAATAATTTCTAATTATTTTCTGTAGTGTCTGTTGTGATATTTCCTTTTTCATCACATATGTTAGTGGTTTTTCTCTCTCCTTCTCTTTGTTAGCATGGCTAAGGGTCTTTCAATTTTATTTATTTTTTCAAAGAACCAACTTTCTATTTTGTCCATTTTTTCAGTTGTTTCTTTTGTTTCAATTTTATTGATTTCAGCTCTGATTTTAATTATTTCCTATGTTCTACTGCTTTTGGTGTTGATTTATTCTTTTTCTAGCACTTTGAGATGTAATGTTAGGTCATTTATTAAGACTTTTTCTTCTTTTAAGGAATGAACTCCATGCAATGAACTTTCCTATTAGTACTGCCTTCATAGTGTCTCAGAAATTTTGATATGTTGTGTCAGTGTTCTCATTTACCTCTAAGAATTTTTTAATCTCCTCCTTGATATCTTTTGCAACCCATTGTTCATTCAGTAGCATATTATTTAGTCTCCACGTGTTGGAGTAGTTTTTTTTTTTTTATCACTGATTTCGAATTTCATTCCATTGTGATCTGATAGAATACAGGGTAGTATCGCTACTTTTTTGTATTTGTTACGAGTTGGTTTGTGGCATAATATAAGGTCTGTTTTAGACAAGGATCCATGTGCTGCTGAGAAGAAAGTATATTTGCTTGTTGAAGGATGAAATATTCTATATTTGTCACGTAAGTCTAAGTTATTGATTGTATTATTGAGTTCTATAGTTTCTTTGTTCAGCTTTTTGGAAGATCTATCCAGTGGGGAAAGACGTGTGTTGAAGTCACCCAGTGTTGTTGTATTGTGGTCTGTTTGACTCTTGAACTTGAGAAGAGTTTGTTTGATGAACATAGATACTCCATTGTTTGGGGCATATATATTTATAATTGTTAAGTCTTGTTGGTATATGGTTCCCTTGAGCTGTATAAAATGTCCTTCTTTGTCCCTTTTGATTAATTTTAAAGTCTACTTTATTTGATACAAGGATGGAAACCCCTGCTTGCTTCCGCAGTTCCATTTGAGCTATATGAGTTTTCCCAACCYCTCACCTTCAGTCTGTCTTTTCCTCTGAGGTGAGTCTCTTGGAGGCAGCATATTCTGTATGTTAGACATTTTCATTATAATGTGCCTTGGTGTGAATCTGTTGTGATTTTGTACATTTGGTGTCCTGTAAGCCTCTTGAATTTGGTTTTCCAATTTGTTTTTCATGTTATTATTTCATTGAATAGATTGTCATTCCTTTGGTTTGGAACTCTATGCCTTACTCTATCCCAATAACTCTTAGATTTGGTCTTTTTATGCTATCCCATATTTCTTGAATATTTTGCTCATAGCTTCTTACTATTTTCACTGTATGGTCTACATTCTTCTCAAGATTATATATTTTGTCTTCATTGTCTGAGGTCCTGTCTTCCAAGTGGTCTAATCTGTTGGTGATGCTTTCAGTTGAACTTTTAATTTCGTTTATTTTTTCTTTTATTTCAAGGATTTTTGTTTGGTTTTTCTTTAGAATATCTATCTCCCTATTAAAGTRTCTTTTGCTTCCTATATTTGCTTACGTAGCTCTTTGTTGAAATGATCTTTTGCTGCCTGTATTTGCTCTCTTATATCACCCTTAAATTCACAGAAACTTTTAATCATGTACATCCTGAACTCCTTGTCTGTCATTTCCTCTGCTGTGCTGGCCATGGATTCTAATGATGTGGTATCTTGATTTGTTTGGGGCACTTTCTTCCCTTGTCTTTTCATGTTGCTTGTGTCTTTTCCTTTCTATCTCTATAGATCTGAGGCGTTACTGTTTTTACCCTATAGGTTTATAGGGCTCTTATAGGGTTCTAATACCTCATCTTTGAGGGRAAGGACAATATTAACAGATCCCAATATAAACAARATACCACCTAAAAACAAATAGTTGTTATTAAGACGTTTATAGTTTGGTCACAGTGTACAGAAATGGTGAATTCAATTATTATCTACAATATGATCAGTAGGTTTGTAAAAGGGTTTACAGTTTCTGATGATGTACACAGAACCAGGGGTGAGGTGTAAGGTGATATGCTGAGGAGGTAGGAGGTGAGGCTATGGAGTTATTATATCTCAGGAAGTGTGAAACAGAAATCTAAAGAAGAAGGTTAGTAGCAGGAAAGTAGAGAGGCAGTAATTTGGGGTAGACAAGTAAGAGGGAAGACAGTAGAGTACATAAGACAAACCCATGTATTAAAAAAATAAAAAATGTTAAAATAGTCAAAATTGGAGAGAAAAAACAAGAAAAAGAATATACAACACAACTGTAATATACTATTCAGTCATCTCAGTCCTCAATATCCTAATTCATGCAAAGTACTTGGTTTCACATATGTTGGGGATGTGAGGGCGCGAGAATAAAGAGGGAGAAGGAAGGAAAAAAAAAATCTCAAAGGGAGAAAAAAGGATTGTTTTGGTTGATCAGTATATTTCTTACTTCCCTTCTCATCCAGTAGGTGGGGTTGTCAGTTCTTAGTTGGCATCTCTGCCCTCAGGATGGTGTGGGTTACCAGGGTGTGAGGGTTGGTCTTGGTGCAGGGCACCTAGAAGTGGGGTATGGCACCTGCCCGTCCTGTTGGGAGACTGCACCTCCTTTGGGGTCTGCTCCTGTGATATGGGCGCCTGGTCTTATTTCCTCATCTTGCCTATAGACCTCACAGTTTCTGCCCTCYWAATCAGTCTCTAAAGTTATCTCCCTTACCCTCTCCCTTTCTACTTCCAACCAGGAACCTTTCTCTCTGGGAATCTTGTGTGTTGTACTCTGATGGCTGCACGCCTGTAGCAGAGGGTTGTTTTGTAATAGGCACTCACTCTACTGAGTTAGCAGCTGCCAGGGTTTGGGGGGCAATTAGAAAACTATGGGTACCTCGCTATCTCGTGTTTCAAACTTGTAGTTGCCCAGACTAAAGATGGTGATGGAGATGACCTGAGATGGAGGCTGCTGCTTTCAGGGATGGAGTGTCAAGTCAGGTGGGAGGAGCCGGGCGATGGCGTTGTACCATCAGTTCAGAGATGAGCTCTGAGACATGCAGTGTGTTGTTTATAGCTTTCTTCAGAGCTTGTGATATCCCCAGGTGCAGGCAGTTTATCTCCAATAGGGGACTATGGCAGTATCTTCGAGTCCCAAGATGGAGGCTACCGGGGGGTCCACATGGGAGTTGCACACAGAGTTCTTGCATGTAGGTAGCAGCTTAATGTCCTTCGTGGGAGCAGCGTCTGGGAATTCTGKGCCAGCGCTCATGCTGGTGGTTGCGCTAAGGCACCCAGAGACCTGCGTGGGAGGGTAGTCGGGAGTCAGGAGTCCTTTTGTAACGCTTGAGGTCTGGGTCCCTGCACACCAAGGTGGCCATGATTCCTATGCGGGATCAGCTGTAGAGGGGTCCTCCGTCACTCTCACCAAAGCAATATTCCCAGAAATTGAAACCCGGGTCACAGGGCGACACAGAATGCTGCCTCCTCTGGCCCATCATCTTGGATCTCCCAAGGTGAGAACTCTTAACCTGAACTTTGGATCTAGTGCACACAGAGCAGTGCCTGCCCCTATTAGATATACTTATTCCTTTTTAAGTGAGCAGAGGAGATAACTAACCCTTAAGAAGATATAATACAGAAGTTCAGTTGTACAGTTTTTAGAAAGTGGAATTTGGGGTTTTTTGTTTTGTTTTGTTTTTGACAAGTTGAGAATTCTACTTAGTTTGCTAACTAAATAATATTATGATTGGGAGAGATCAACAATATCAATTTATAGTGATTATTTTTCAAAGGTGGTAATTTCTTTGATTAAAACAGCTTTGGATTATCCTGTGTCAAAGCAGGGTTCTTTTTTTTTTCACTTATACTATAAAATGATATTAAAGAGGAGTAAAATTTATTTTAAAGGTTAAAAAAGATTGAACTCCAAAGTGGCATATTTTAATCTCTCTTTCTTAGTCATGATTCCTCCAACTCCCAAATGAAGGTGGAAGGCTATTTTTCCACTATGAATAATCTGTTGTCCTTTCATCCTCAGGTGTTTGTGTGGGTACAGACATTTCACTTATATTCATCTCTTCTTTTGTTCCCAACTCAGATCATTCAATCAGTGCTCATGACCGTGGCCAACAATTTTGTTACTGACAAGAACTCTGGGGAAGTCATGACAGTAGGGTATGTAGAACATGGTTGGGGGCAATAGATATGTTTTCAATGTACTAGATTTGCTTTAAGTTACAAAGTTGTGTAATTTCAGCTGACAGTATGGCCTCTAGAATAGCAGTTTAAAATAYGCTTGAGTCCTTGAGGAGGCTTGATATTTTTATTTTATTGGTCATAATTTTGAGAAGGGAACCAGAGATAATCTGCTTATTCTTTTAATCAGAATTTTTTTTTTTTTACTAGTTTTACACTTTGAATTGAATGATTATTTGGCTACYTCAGTATTTTTTTGTTTTTGTTTTTTTATCTTCCACCATGAATTTGTGTCTTAYCCTGGAATAAGTGATATATTATTGAATCAATCTTCAATTTTAGGGCAAGTCAGTGGCCCTTTTGATTAATTAAAAATTATTAATGACTAAATCATCTTGGTAAGTAAGTGATATACTAAACRGTTACTTTGTATTTCCCTTGAGAAATGTTACTGGGAGAATAGCCKGAAGATTTTCCGTCTTTCTTGTTTAGCCTAGTCCCTTCTTTCCTTAGGGTTGGCAAATAAACACTGCCATGATTTAGTTTCCTGACATTGCTCTTCATGCCACTAGCAGCAAAAATTGCTGTAATAAAAGCCCTCTACCCACTTAACATTCTCTACTATACTACAGTTTTAGAAACTTAGGCCACATAAAACGCAACTTGTATTCCTTTTGATTCCTTTTTTGAAAAATTTCTTAGATTTAACCACCACTTTTTCTTTTCTAGAATTAATGCTATAAAAGAGATAACAGCCCGATGTCCTCTCGCCATGACTGAAGAACTTCTCCAAGACCTGGCTCAATATAAGACACATAAAGATAAGAGTAAGTTGCATGTTATTCTCTGTAAGCCAAAGAGTACAATGTTTTTACCTCTTTGCTTCTTTACCTCTTAACCTTCTTTGCTCCAGAATTTGTAATTAAAGGTATTATTTTTGTAGATGTGATGATGTCTGCTAGAACTCTGATTCAGCTCTTCCGGACACTGAACCCTCAGATGTTACAGAAGAAATTCCGGGTAGGTGAACCCTGTTTATGTTGGTCTAAAGGTTATGGTCTTTTGAATTTTATTACAATTTAGATTTAGGTATTTGTGATAGTTTTGAGTACTRGTGATGCACATGGTTTTATTTAAAGTTTGAATTCAATTGATTGAATACCATTACCTTAAATATTTTGTAGTTGGCTTGTGTTCTTTGATGATGACTGTTTTTTATAAACCTATCAAGCTGATTAAACTTGATGATGCCAGTATTAAACAAGACTATTTCCCAGCCAGGTACTACCTCTTTAAAGGGCAGAAGGATGCTTGTGTATAAAGAAAGAGATTGTACTTTGGACACCTAAAATATTTGAACAGATATTCTTTAATAGCTGCCAATTTCTTGATTTGGATTAGAAATGAGAAAATAGTGGACAGCATTCTGACTCAGTATTTACTTTGACCTGAGATATAAACAGAATATTTTGTCATTTTATTATTTCCATTTTCTGTAGTGCTCCCATCTCAATTCATAATCTTAGAGAATACCTTTCATCATTGATGTTTTACAGTATGAGCACTTTATTATAAACAATTTATTTTCCTTTAGGGTAAACCTACAGAAGCATCTGTTGAAGCAAGAGTACAAGAATATGGTGAATTGGATGCTAAAGATTACATTCCAGGAGCAGAGGTTCTGGAAATTGAGAAGGAAGAGAAAACAGAAAATGATGAAGGTTCATTTTTCTTTCTTTCTTTCTATCTTTCTTTCTTTCTTTCTCAAGAGTACAAGAATATGGTGAATTGGATGCTAAAGATTACATTCCAGGAGCAGAGGTTCTGGAAATTGAGAAGGAAGAGAAAACAGAAAATGATGAAGGTTCATTTTTCTTTCTTCCTTTCTATCTATCTTTCTTTCTTTCTTCCTTTCTTTCTTTCTTCCTTCCTTCCTTCCTTCCTTCCTTCCTTCCTTCCTTCCTTCCTTTCTTCCTTTCTTCCTTTCTTTCTTTGATGGTACTGGGGAAATTGAACCCAGAACCTTTTTTTTTGTTGTTGTTTTTTGTTTTGAATTTTTAACATTTTATCATTGTAAATATATTTACTGCAACTTTATAGTTTAGTTAACAATTATATACAAATAGACTTTTAGCTATAAAATCCCAATTGATTACATCTAAATCACTGTTGTGAAGAAAACAAATTAGAAGTCTTCCAGTCCTTTAACTTTACCTTTCTTAAATTATATAGGAAAAATAACATCTGATAGTTTTGATTTCAAGTTACAGGGGAGGAGGTATTATCACATTTTATCACTTAGGAACCTAGGGCCCCTTATGCATGCAAATCAAGTGCTCTGTCCCTAGGCTATATCTCCAAGCTATGGAGGTTAATTTTATTTCACCATTATTTAGGGAGAAAACCACATGGCAAGATAGGAGACTTGAAAGAGAACTGGAAACATTATTATGTGGGTGGTTTTATATATACCAGACCAAAAAGTTGGGACACTGTCTTACAGATCCCAGGGAGCCACTTTATTGAAATGTCTACAAGGTTATTTTATGCCCAGAATCTTTTATTTAATTCTCTGAATAACTGCAGCTAGTTTCTCATACATGCATAAATATATTTAGATGAGTTAGTCAGATACTTGCTATATGCCCAAGTTAAAAGTATAAGCGCCATTTTTTTTAATGTGCTTTATTGTCTGTCATCTTTACTAGATCATGAGCTTTATTAGGGCAGGGACCAAATCTCTTTTGTTTACCATTGAATCACTAACCAATCACAGCATAATAATATCTGCACAATTCCCCRAGATCTGCTTAGTGAATGGTTAGTGAACTTCCATCGAATCATGTTTTTCATAGATAAACAGTTATATAATGTGAGATCTATGTTGTTCTAATTAGTTATACATGGCAGTAGAATGCACTTTGACACATACATAAATGGAGTATAACTTCTCGTTCTTCTGATTATGTATGATGTAGAATCACATTGGTCATATAGTCATATATGCATATAGGGTAATAATGCCCAGTTCATTCTACTATCCTTCCTACCCTCTCCCCTTCATTCCCCTTTACCTAATCCAAAATAACTATTACAAGTGCCATTTTGATAGGCACAGTTGGCTCCGTGAACATGGACTCTGAAGTCAGTCATGGTTTTTGTGATTTCCATGTAGGCTACATTTTTTGGCTGTGATATTTAACTCTGGGGAATGATCCTTTTCTGCCAAGTTGTGATGACAGTTTATTTATTTTTATGTGGTGCTGAAGATTGAGCCCAGGGCCTCACATGTGCTAGGCAATTGCTCTACCATTGAGTCATGACCCCAACCCCAGTGTATAGTTCTTATTCCTTAAATTAACTAAGTTGAGATGGCTTATTTAACAACAAACATTGCTCAAGTTTTTGTCAGTATTATATGTATTTAAGTTTCACTACTTTACTYTTCCATTGCATGATTTATTTCAAATTGTTGTAAATATTCAACATAAAGTAGTAGTTACATCACTAAGCTCTTTTTCACACAGATGAATGGGAAAGTACCAGTCTCAGTGAGGAGGAAGATGCCGATGGTGAATGGGTTGATGTGCACCACTCTTCAGATGAAGAGCAGCAAGAAATTGTAAGTCATAAAAACTCCTCTTACAAGTGCATCACTCTGATGGTTATTAAGATATAATTTTTGCTGGACCTTGTGGGGAGACTAACACTTGAATGGCTGAGCTCTCACTTGAGCTGGTAGCCATTTAAGCCTTTGTTTGTGTACTCTTAAGTCTAAGAAACTAAACAGCATGCCSATCGAGGAGCGGAAAGCCAAAGCTGCAGCCATCAGCACTAGTAGAGTTTTAACTCAGGAAGACTTCCAGAAAATCCGCATGGCCCAAATGAGGAAAGAACTTGACGCTGCCCCTGGGAAAGCCCAAAAAAGAAAATACATTGAAATAGACAGTGATGAGGAGCACAGGTAAAATGCATTTTCACCAGGTCTTCAGTCAGCTTGTGTGCGAATGAAAGCCTCGGGAAAAGGAATTGCACCCTTATTTCTTATTTTATTTTTCCCTCATCCCAGGGGTGAATTACTTTCTCTTCGGGACATTGAACGCCTTCATAAAAAGCCAAAGTCTGACAAGGAGACAAGACTAGCAACTGCTATGGTGAGTGATACATTAACATTAAAATGAAATATAATCTGGATTTTGTATAGCCATAGAATGGCAATTTTTTAAATGTCTTAAATTAACAGAATAAAATGTACAGATATTAGATGTTGTATTAGATGAGTTTTGATTGCTGTACATACCATGTGACTATGTTCATGGTATTAGGAGATTTCACCCCACCATGAATGCTTTTATCTGTTTAAAAAAAAAACTTAATTCCCTTTCTGGGAACCTCTCTTACCTCACCAGGCTGAATTATGACTTTTCCTTCCACTGAGCTTCCTTATTCCATTGCAGTACTTCAGCCATTGCTCACTGGGACGGAGCCCTAGGGAGCAAGGACTGTGTTCTGTCTGTGCTGTGTCCTTGGTGTCGGATAGAGTGCCTGGCAGAGAGGAGACATTGACTTAGATTAGATRTCTTCTGAAGTGTGTTATTTCACAAATATCAATCTTTTTGTGCTGATAGGCTGGAAAGACAGATCGAAAGGAATTTGTGAAGAAGAAAACCAAAGTGAATCCATTTTCCAGTTCTACAAATAAAGAGAAGAAAAAACAGAAGAACTTTATGATGATGCGGTATAGCCAGAATGTCCGGTCAAAAAACAAGCGTTCCTTCCGAGAAAAACAGGTGAGTTCCACTTAAAGCTGGGTGGCTGGAATGGTACTATAATTTGAGCCCACTTAKATCTGAGATGAGTTGTGCTTTCTGAAGACTACCACCGTGTGTACCTTGGTGCTAATGGGCACTGTTGGAAAACATCAAGAGGTGCTAGGCAGTCATGCCACATAAATCCTGGACCTGACTTAGTTGGGACTCAACTGTGTGACAGATGGGTTAGGGGTTTTGTGTCCATTTTTCTTCTTTGTCAGTAAAGGGGTATAGCCAGCTGTAATGATGCACACTTGTAATCCCAGARATTTAGAAGGCTGAGGCAGGAGGATCACAAGTCAAGGCCAGCCTTGGCAAGTTAGGGAGCTTCTGTYTCAAAATAAAAAAGGGCTGGGAGTGTGRCTCAATGGTAGAGGGCCTTGGGGCTCAGTTCCCAGTACCACATGCTAAAATAATCTGTCATTTAATCTGTGAAATATACTATTGAAATTCATTGATATTAGCAATTGTATGCCTGGGAGTTTTAGAAAGGAGTGATTTTGTGTGGTAATACATCAGAAACCGTTTCAGGAAAACAGTCTAAAACAAACTTCTATTTTGGTATAACCCTTCCTATATATTTATACCCTTTTGCAAAACCCTTTCTGTTTACAGGCCTTTGGGTTTTCATTTTATTTGTTTGTAGCCTTTGAATGGTAATCCTGTTCTGCTCAGATGGCTTGCTTATTTTAGTAATTCATTGTAGTAAAATAAATTTATGCTTTTTTGTATCTTCCCCTCCTGGGAAGAATATATCAGAATATATCTAAACATCATTTTGAAGAATCTCCAGGAAATCAGGTCCAGGCTAAAATAATCCCTCATTCTGAACCAGTGTTCCTAAGTAGATGACAAGCCTGCCAAGTCTGAATGTTACAGCCTGTCCTCTAGGGCAGCACTATGTCTATGTGGGAGCCAAGTCAGGGTGACCTGAATTAGGTACTGTTTAAACTCTCCCTATCTGTTTTTCTAAATCTTCCACTCTGTGGGTCAATACATCATGTAAGCAATAAAGTGATGGCATATTTAATAAAGGTTGAAGTACTTTAAATTTTGCCACAAATTGACTTAAGCCCATCATTCTAACTTTCATTGGCCCTTAATAACTATTTTAGGTGGCCTTACTCTATTATGTAGTTTATGTGACCTGCCTACATTTTAGCTAAGTGTGTCATCCATCCCTTACTTATTTTGTTTGTTTGTTTGTTTTTTGTTTTTTTGGTACCTGGGATTGATCCAGAGGCACTTAACCACTGAGCCAAATCCTCAGCCCTTTTTAAAAAACAAAAAAAAAWTTTTTTATTTAGAGACAGTCACACTAAGTTGCTGAAGCTGGCTTTGAATTTGTGATCATCCTGCCTCAGCCTCCCAAGTTGGTGGGATTACAGGCGTGTGCCAACTGGCTCCTACTTCYAGGTTTTTAACATGCCATTTTCAGCATATAAAAAAGCCCTGCCTTGTTCCTTGTCAATACCTCATAAAATCTCTCTCTCAAAGAGTAAAGAATTTTTATTTAAGAATAAATTTAGAGTTCGTTGGACATAAACCTTGACTCAGAAATGTTATTTCCAGGCTGGGGTTGTGGCTCAGTGATAGAGCACTTGAATAGCACATGTGAGGCACTACAATCCTAAGCATYACATAAAAAATGAAAAAGAAGCCTGGCAAGGTTGCATATACCTGTAATCCCAGTAGCTCAGGAGACTGAGGCAAGAGGATCACCAGATCAAAGCCAACCTCAGTCAGCAAAAGCAAGGCGTGAAGCAACTCAGTGAGACCCTGTCTCTAAATAAAATACAAAATAGGGCTGGAGATGTGGCTCAGTGGTCAACTGCCCCTGAGTTCAATCCCCAGTACCAATAAATAAATAAATAGATGATAGATAGATARATAAATAGATTAAGAAAAAAATAAAATAAAGATATTGTGTCTGTCTATAACTAAAAATATTTTTTTAAATGTTATTTCCTGTTCTCTAGTTTTCTTACTGAAATTAATCAATTTCTGTGTATATTTCCTTGCCTTATGTTTTCTTTAAAGTCTCTTTTATTATAAAAGTTTGGTTTTCATATTTTCTCCTTCTTTAGAACATTTTGTTCAATTGAAATATACAAATCATATGTGATTTTTAAAGAAAAAAGAAATGAAGTTAATTTTAATAATATATCTTATTTGGGGCTGGGGTTGTGACTCAGTGATAGAGCACTTGCCTTGCACATGTGAGGCACTGGGTTCGATCCTCAGCATCAAATAAAAATAAATAAAGACTAATAAAGATATTGTATCCATGTATAACTAAAAAATTTTTTTAATTATATATCTTATTTAACCTAGTATATCAAAATAGTATTCTAATGTAACCAGTATAAAAATTATTAATAAGATATTTTACATTCTTATATTTGAACTAATTGAAATCCAGCATCTCTTTTACATTATAGCACATCTCAATTTGAGATGCTCATCTTCTCTGTATTGTTCCAGTTTTAGTATGTGTACTGCCTAAGTAAGCACAAGCCGTGTTTCAAATGCTCAATAGCCACATGTAGTTCATGGCTGCCATAATGATCAGCTCTACTATACAGCAACCTCAAACTGTCCCATGACCCATGCACTCTGTGGGGATGCAGCATCACATCACATTTTCCTTTGCCCCTCAGTGGTGTTTCACTGTCTGAAATAAAAGATCTTTTGTGACTAGAATATGTACATGAAGTCTTACTGTAAATTTTTAGAATAAATAAAATGATCTGGGGTTGAGACTAGAAGAGTAAAGTAAAGCATATGAGAGAGAAAGAGAAAAAGATCTTATAGGGATTTTTAAATGAAAAGAGGAGACTATACCTGTTCTTGTATTCACTTGGTGGCACTGAAGGGGAAAAGGACCTCTGAGAGTCACCTGTGCTGTTATAGTTTAATGAGCAAAATTAAATCTATGCAACCAATATTAGCTTAAACATACAGTTTTTGCAATATGGCTTTAATTATACCAGAGCTTTCCATTAATTTATTTAATCATCATACAACATGAGCAGACACAGTAAATGAAGTATGCAGATAGAAAATAAGACACAAATAAGTCTTGAGAAATTCCTCCTTAGCTAGGCATTGTGGTACACACCTATAATCCCAGTGGCTTTGGAGGCTAAGGCAGGAGGATCTCAAGTTTGAGGCCAGCCTAGGCAACAAATGAGTCTGTCTCAAAAAATACAAAGGTCTGGGCTTGTAGCTCAGTGGTAGAGCACCCTTGGGTTTAATCTCCAGTGTCAAAAAGAAAAAGAAAGAAAGAAAAGAAATACCTCTTTTTGGCCAAATTAGATTAAAATGAACTTGCCAATTTTTTTTCTCTTAAAGATACTATTTWTCCTATCTACAAAGATACAAAGACATATAAAGCCCATGTACAAGCTAAAGAAAAGGAATCAATAACTTAAATCATAGAATCCAAAAGGGTTGAACATTTAGATATAATCCATGCAGTTTTGATCCAAAAAAATGTTTTTTTAACAAAGCAATCATATCAATCATTCCTTGTTAAAATTCATAATCGAGAGACTTTTATAAGTTTGAAGGATAAAGAGTAGTGCTGAGGAATTAATGGAATAGTTTTCATCACATACWTAAAATGTGTCTTGGCCTTAGTTACTCTTTTTGTAAAAATTGGATTTATTCTTGATAATCTGTAATATTCTGGGGTTTTTGTTTTGTTGTTTGTTTTTGAGGAAAATGGTAATCTTTAAATGGCCCATATGTTCAGTTTATCTTGGAAAGGTGACCTGTATTCCTGGTACTCAGGAAATTGAGGTAGGAGGAGAGCTTGAGTCCAGGAGTTTTTCAACCTGGGCAACACAGCAAGACCTTCAGTGAAAAAATTTAAAAAAGAAAAAAATGTGTAAGTGGTGCTCATGTTCAGTAGGATATAAATGATTTATAAAAGATGATTGTGAATAAAGATCTGCTTTTCTATTTTAATTTAGATAGTATGTCCTACCCATAGCTCTCAAAAATTAAGAGCTGTGTAGGTCAGAGTAGTACTGAGCAGTATCCTCGGAGACAGGTGATATGCAAGTCGAAACATTCAATACACCTGCTCTAGTTGTGAGCCTTGTTTCCATGAGTTGGGAATAGTATTTAAGAGCATTGCATGTTTCCTAGCAGTGTAGAGGCCCCCATCCTGAATACAGATTGGATCTGTTAGGGAATATTTCATTATTTGTACTTTTTCAGGATGATTTATGATTTAGTGATTTCTTTTTTGTACATTCCTTATAACCAAATTAACATAATGGGATACTCAAGACTTATCACTTTTTTTCTTACCTTCCAGCTGGCATTACGAGATGCGCTGTTGAAAAAGAGGAAAAGGATGAAGTAACTTCCAAGCAAGTTTTTCATTTCAAGGAGAAAATGCCAAGTTTGTGTCACTACTATGAAAATTAGTAAATCAAGAATGTTTCTTACATTAAAAAGTCCAGAAGCACTATATGGTAACAACCACAGTAAACTTGGTAGCAATTTGGTGTKTTTAACTTGGAGATGGGTAGTAGTGGGAATGTTTAAAATGTAAATACTAGTGATATTATAAAAACATTTTCATTTAAACATTCATGCAAAGAAAAACATTGAATGCCTAATAAGTGTCATTCTAGATATAAAATTAAATGAGCCACAGCCAGTTCTCTCAAAGCATTCACAACTAGTGTGGGAAGGGAGGCAGGTATTATATGTGTGTTTACAGTTCATTGTAAATAGTTCTCTTGCAGAGATCGGTTTATATTTCTATAGGGTCACTGAGGCCTGATGGACTAAATCTGCAAGGGTGGGAGTTATGTATTCTCTTAAAACAAAAAAGGACGATGTTACAAGAGTAAGAGGTTCTTACTTGTAAATAGGCTTACCTGCTAAAAACAGGTCCCTGCTGTACAGACTTTGGGTAGATAATTTAGCTCTTTTAGTCTATCCAAAAGATTTCAATATTTTTTTTAATGCTATGTAAGGATTTTTTTCTTCAGACCTCATTTTTTTAAACAGCCGTAAGGATAAATTATAATTTTGAAATGTCTTTGTTTCATCCTTTGATCTGTGCTCTTCCTGTTAGTTTCCTCCGCTTCCTTGGACTCTTATCATATTTTCAACTCATTGTTTGTCTTGTCTTCAATAAAGGGTTTCTAACATCAAATAGGTATTCTTTTGTATGTGCAATAGTGTATGATGTTTACCAGTCACACTTAAGTCAATTTCAGGAGACAATTTGTTTGCATTCAATTAATTGCACTTAGAAATAGTTTGGTCCTTCTACCTTAGGTTTTTTAGCTGATGTTGTGGTAGATGAGAAATTTGTTTTATGTTATTTCAAATTTGAGTAATGGGCAATTTTCTGTCCAGAGTTAGAACAACTTCTAAAATCACTTCCCCTGTTCCCTTTGCAGTTTTTTTGTTCATCTTCTGAATTCAGTTTTAGTTTTATTTGAATGAAACTTTGTGATTTTTGCCGAAGATGTTCCAGATCACTGTTAGACAGTTAGTTGAATATAAGAGTCAACTCCCAGCAACTTGATTGTTTCGTGGGATGTGCCCAATGCAAATGTGTTTATTTCAGACCCTTTTCTTTTCTTTTTTTTTTTTCCTTTGGGGTAATGGGAATGGAGCACTTGCTAAGGCAGGCACTCAACCACTGAGCTATATTCTCAGGCCCCCCCTTTTAACATATATTTTTTAGTTGTTGATGGAATTTTATTTTATTATATGAGGTGCTGAAAATTGAACCCAGTGCCTCAGTCATGCTAGGCAAGCACTCTACCACTGAACCACAAGCCCAGCCCCTCTTTAGCCCTTTTTAAATTTTATTTTGAGATAGGGTCTCACCTTCCCAGTCTGACCTCGAACCTGTGATCCTTGTGCCTGAGCCTCCCGAGTTGCTGGGATTGCAGGTGTATACCCAGCTTCAGACCCTCTTCTTTGTGTATTTTCAAATRGGGTATCTCATGTGTCTGGAGCCAGAAAGTGAATAAAATCCAAAATAGCATAGTAGATAGTGTCCACAGCTTTGCTATGTGTTTTCTGATGGTGCCTGGAAGTTTCATCTTTCCCTTGTATTTCCCCACCCTACTTAGATACTAAGATGCCAAAGTTTTTTCTGTGCTCTGACTCCAATTCTGCTGTGGCCTCACCCTGCTCTTAACTAGCCTGAGGCTTATATGCAAGATAAAGGTACCTGGCTTTAAAAGATAAATTCTTCTTAACTGTTTTCTTTAATCCCACAGTCTCTTATTTCTGGTTACTTTTAATAATGTATCAGTTTTCTCTTGAGAATTTTTCYTTTTACTGCTAATTTGAAGATCAAATTCTCACAAATTGGATGCAGCCAGCAAAGGTCAAGTAACTTTGCGGGGTGACTTTAATCTTGAAGAAGTCATCAGTGTTTAAAACTTTTTAGTCTCGAACTTTCCTCAGCACTGAGAATGTGTCCATGTCATGATGCACTCGMATTGTCCAAGCTCATAATATATAAAAGCGGTATGTAAATCTGGAATGCTGACCTGTCATCTCTGTGATCTTACTAAGTTCCACTAGTAAATTAGCTCCACGTGAGGCAGAGATTTTGATCTGTTCTCTGCTATATTCCCTGTGGTAGTTCAGTGTCTAATATGGTATAGAGGGACTAGGAAAATGTTTGAACATATGATTTAATCTCTGTCAGTTTTCTGTCTGTAAATATACCAGCTCCCTCACTGACTATTTTGAGAATTTTGAAAACTAATGTTTATAGGCATTTACCATGTTATCTGACACAAAGAAAGGTTTCAGCAAATTTCTCATCAAAAATTAGCTACCTGTTACATTGGTTTTGCTTAATTTATTTAAAATAAAACAGCAATTACATTTGCCACAAATATTTTATCCCTCAAATCCAATTTTTTGGATTACTAGTTTGAAGTATAAAAATGTATGTTGAATACCCACTGTATACAAAGTATTCTGCTAGATGCTGTGTGGTTTGTAGACAGCATTTGTCCCTTATTGAAACTTTCAGTGCATTGAAGGCAATAGATTCACAAAATGACTTCATAATACAAAGCAGCTTACAAAAAGTTGTCAGAAAGGTACAGTTATACAAAAAAAGTATGTGAGGGGCTGGAGATGTGGCTCAAGTGGTAGCACGCTCGCCTGGCATGCGTGTGGCCCAGGTTCGATCCTCAGCACCACATACAAACAAAGATGTTGTGTCCGCCGAAAACTAAAAAATAAATATTAAAAAATGCTCTCTCTCAAAAAAGTATGTGAGGTGATATAAAGGTATCTTAGTTAAGTCATTCTCAATACATGTCAATGTTAAAACATCACATGGTCTATCATAAATAGATCTAATTTTGTCAATTAAAAAATCACAGCGCAGGGTGTGGTTGTAGCTCAGTGGTAGAGTGTTTGCGTAGCACTTGTGAGGCACTGGGTTTTGTCCTCAGCACCAAATAAAATAAGGTATTGTGTCCATCTACAATTAAAAGTATTAAAAAAAAAAGTACAGTATTAGGGGATCATAAGGAAGGGACAGATCACCTGGCAGGAAGGTCAAATGCTGGTTTGCTAACAAACTGATGCTTATGATGGTCAGCGCAACCAGTAGGAAGACATTCCCAAACTGTACAAGAAAAGTTRTGGTTTAAAAGTTGAAATAATTTTAGTATGATTTTTAAAAGGTTATTGTTATATAAATTTTAATTTTTTATATTCTAATTCCTTGAAAATTTTTATATAGGGTATTACATTGCAATTGTTTTAACTAAAATGTTCAGTCATTTTGAGTATTAATACTATTTTAAATAAGATGTTTAAAATATATGTAGATAACATAGTTCTGTACTTTCAGAAATTTAAGAAATATCTTGAATATGATTAAGAAGAGGGATAGGGTTATGGCTCAGAGGTAGAATGCTTGCCTAGCACATGTGAGACATTGGGTTTGATCCTTAGCACCACATAAAAAAATAAAGGTATTGTGTCCATCTACCAACTGAAAAAAGAAGAAGATAGGGCAATGACCTAGAGCTTTTTCTTTTACAAGATCAAAGTTGGAAACAACTTTCACTAGTGTAGTATTTGGTCTGCACTTGAATTAAAATGTAAGCARAAGTAGCACAGCTAATGCTATATTATTGAAAAAGAATAAACTCGTATAGGACACTTTTTGTGTAGTAGTCTTATTTCCTTTTGCTGATTCTACTTTTGTGTTTTGTCAGTCTGATCTCAATACAGAAATGTTTTAAGTAAACTATGATTTATCTACATGATGGGATATTATATAGTCATTAAAATGTTTATAATAGGAAATACATATTATAACTTGACAAAAAACAAATACATATTATAACTTGACAAAAAACAAATACATATTATAACTTGACAAAAAACAAATACATATTATAACTTAACAAAAAACAAAGCTTTTTACATGTAAGAAAATTGTACATGTAAGAAAATGGAAAATCATAAAAGCCCTAGAGAAAATATACCAAATATTAAATATAGTTTTCTTTAGTGTTTGGAGCATTTTTGTTATTATGTAAGAGGCAAAATAAACTAAATAAACTTTGTCTTCTTAATTACTCTCTTCCCTCATTTAGTCATTGGGGCTAGAGTCATCTTTGTTTGGTGCTAGCCAAAGTTGCCTGATATTAACAAAAGTACTATTAGTACAATTCTTTAAGTTCTATGTACCAAGAACTTAAAGATAGTCATAACCTTTGGCTGAAATCCACTTCGGAAGGTCTAATCTGAGAAAATGATCCAAAATATAGCTGTGTCTGTGACTGTTTGGCTGCAAAAAAACGTATTCGTTTTAAAATACCCTAACCAAAGTGGAGTTTGTCTCACCAAGTATAGAGATGGACTGTTGATTCTTTGGGGTTCAGCTTCTCTATAATGACACCAGGACCTTGGGCTCCTCTTCGGCTTTGTCATTCTTAGTGTGTTGAAGTAGGACCATGTTGGATGCTGGCTCTGACAGCTGTATGACCATGTGGAACTCACTCATTTCTGCATCTCAGTTTTTTAAGGCAGCAAGAAGGGACCGAAGTGACATTGCCGTATCTATCCCTTTTCTAAGAAAACAAGAGCTTTCATAGAATTCCTTCAACAGCCTTCATACTTTATATGGATTAACTAGCCACCCTACTATTAAGAGAAACCAAGAAAGCAGGAAATGGGATTGTTGACCCCTCAGATGGACCATAACCATCTCAACAGAACTGAACTTATGTTAGCAAGGAAGGAAGTGAGAGGGAATTTGGATAGACTATTTTCAATCTGTAAACTATCTATAGGTAAATATTCACTATAATTTTCAATGGCAAGAATAGGTACAGAAAAAAAGTTCTAAAATATGAGAATACTTAAGCAACTTGGGATATAGTTAGTTGGTGGAATATTCAACTGTTAAACAATATCATTTTGATAAGTTAAAGGTATAACAATGTAGTAATGTAAAATATGTACCCTGTTAAAACTGTAAGCTGATATTACATGATTTTAAGACATTTTTTTTTACCTTTTTAAAAAATCTTTTTAAACTTTTGTTTGTAATTATAAATGGACAGAATGCCTTTATATTATTTGTTTCTTTTTATGTGGTGCTAAGGATCAAACTCAGTGCCTCACACATGCTAGGCAAGCACTCTGCCACTGAGCTACAGCCCCAACCTTTTTAAAAAATCTTTGAAATTAGGATTTTTAAAAAATTTTTTACATCCAGATGATAGTCTTAACAGTTGTCATTGCCTTCGCTCTCACAAACTTGATCTAAAATCTTCAGTTGACATCAATTAAAATCAAAAACCTACATCAGAAATATACAAGTATTATTAAGCATACAAGCTCAGTGGATTTTCATAACCTGAATACCTCCCAGTATTCAGCACCTGATCAGGAAACATAACATGACCAATACCTTACAAGACCCTTTTTGAGTGGAGAACTCAGAAATACTGTAGATCACCAAGATTCATAATGACACAGAGGAGTGGTGTGTTGTGGAAAATGGGCATCTATGATGCCAAATCAAATGGCAACTGGAGTCTAACTCTGAATCTAAAGCACTTAAGCATTTCTTAGAAAACATGCAAGAATAAATGTATGAGGGCTGAGGATGTGGCTCAAGCGGTAGCGTGCTC